CTGAATTTAATCATTTCTAACAACTACCTTTAGATGCCATCATAAACGAAGGTAGAAGTAATGAATAATTCATGCCGAAAATTGTAAACAAAAGCGGAGTGGGGGAGTAGCTGGGCCAAACACAGATTCATACACGTTTTCTCTGATGGGTGAGCAGAGAAAACGTAATGTTGTCCCTTCACCCGGCTCCACAAGTATTAGTATCAAAGCATATAAAATATGCAATAAATGCCAGACAACAAGTTTACACTAACTTATATTAAGTTAGCAATAGAAATAGGCATTAAAAACACAATAAAAGGTAAGATACACACAGAGTACACTTATTACTTACCTTAAAATATTAATATTAATGTGTGAGAGGCGAGTGGCAGGGTGTTTATTGAATAAAATCAAAATGGCACACCATCATCCTCTAACTTGGCACTTAAAGCAAGAGGCTTACAACTTCTCTTTTTATTACAGCTAACCTTAGACGCCATCGTCAATGAAAGCCAACTAGTTAACGAAAGAGTAAACAAGAGAGAGAACGAGATACAGAGTTGAGACAATGTAAGAACACAAACTGAACAGGTAGTGGACGATCACTTGGTCAGGCGAAATGCGTATTAATATATGTCTACTTTTAGTTCATTCACGTCCATTTGTAAGAGTTTGTAAAACATTTACCTCAATATTTTTTTTATTTTAATAATTACCTCACAATACAAATTATAAAAAGCACTAAACCCACAAGGGTCATGAATTGCTATACATAGAGTAAAGGCATACGAAAAGAATATTTTTCTACAGTTACCCCCCAGTGTTTGACTAGAGAAAACGTAATTCTTCCGACAATACCTACACAGCTGCTTTGTAAACAAATCTCATATTTACATCAATTTTTATTCTGAGTGTATGTATCATGTTTATATGCTATGTAATGTGTTTCATATATAATTTTGAGGAAAATATCATAGATGGATTAATGAAAATGCCTATATTGATGTAAAATAAGACATTTAGTGTGCCCAAGAGTGATTATTATTACGTAGTATTGGCGTCATGAGTAGAGAGAGACCTAGCGATTTTAATGTGTACCTGCACACCAGCACAGTGTGTAAGTATATTTAGGTACAGGTACACATAAGTATAATTATCAGAGTACATATAAAATATGCAGTAACTTTAAAACACTTGAAATTTTGGAAAGTTTCCTGACATAATAGATGTGGTCACAGAAAATGTAAACAAACCGGGTGGGGGGCGCCGTATTTAAAAGACCGCTTGCTGTATAGCAAATTTTGGTCATAATTTGACATCGCCGTATTAGCGGAACGCCGTAAGGCAAAACGCCGTAAAGCGGGGCCTTACTGTACTTATGAATAAGACTGTAATTATTCTAAAACTTGTAAAAATTTAAAAGAAAAAGGGATTATTACAGTACAGATAATTCAGTTATACACTTAAGCATCTAATAAGAACATAATAATGGAGGAACACTGCAGAAGGCCTACTGGCCCATGCGAGGCAGGTCCTTATCAAAACGACCTCTACCTAAAGCTACCCAAGAAATAACTCCCGTACCCAATGACACCAATCAAACCCAGCCCCTCCCACTCATATATTTGTCCAATCTCTTCTTAAAGCTACCCAAGGTCCTATTCTCTATCACCCCACTGGGAAGACTGTTCCATGCATCTGCAACCTTAATTATTTTAACAAATGTGAGTTTATGAACTATGGTAGATATTTACAGCTAGAATAAAGGAGCTAGTGAATATAATAATAAATGAATGTATTAAAAACAAAATCAGTAGCACCTGAGGTAGTCAATAGCACCTAGATATGAATAAGACTCTTAGTTTCATTTATGACACTCCTGTCAAGATTTGTAAGCATTCTTTCCTAAGTTCCTGCTGTGGGCTTATTTATTTTCTGAGCTGGGCGTTGAGGATACAGACTGGCTGTCTTGAAACTTTTCACCAAAATCCATGAAAGAGTTAAAAGACATCTCATATTGGTTAGTTATTGTTATCCTTTGGGCAAAGAAGTTGGGAAGGGGAGGTAGGGGCTCCCAGAGATTGTGAGGAAGAACTTGTTAGAGTGGTGTGTTCACTTGTGGTAAACTGCATCTTGCAATTACCTTAGTAATTCTTCTCTGATGTCTTCCTCATCCTATGGATGAGATGAGTGATGCCTTAAGTTGTACAGATATTTACCTTTATCAGTTCATTTGTGCCAGCTTGTCTGGCAAAGGGATTGTGATGATGCATGGAGCTAACTTCTTGTTTTTATGAGTTCCTAAGTTTTCACATACGAGTACCATCCAGCTTACGACCTGCTCGACATACGACCACTTGTACTTACGACTGTACGTCTGGCAGCATATACAGTAGTAAACTATTTAGTAAAAAGTAACATACGATAATATGTTGGTACGTACTTTATATTGTAATGGTTTGACATTATGCCCTACCCAGTGTGTCGGCACTTTTCTAAGGTTCGACTTGTATTCATTTTGATTTATGACCGGTTAGTCGGAACCAAGCTCGGTTGTAAGTCGGATGGTACTTGTGTTTTATTGCTGGGTTCCTTGCAGCCAGGTGTTACTAGGTATTGTATATAACCTGATGGAACTGACATTTTGAAGGAGTTATAAACAATAATTGTTTTCAAATTGTCTTATTTTACCCACATTAAGTGTCATTATTTTACCCATGTTAAGTGTCTTTATTTTACCCATGTTAAGTGTGTTTATTTTACCCATGTTAAGTGTGTTTATTTTACCCATGTTAAGTGTCTTTATTTTACCCATGTTAAGTATCTGTATTTTACCCATGTTAGGGGTAAAGTATGTGTTAAGTGTCTTTATTTATCGATCTTTTTTAACCCTTTGACTGTCGCAACCCCCAATCCTGAGGTGTCTCCTGGTGTCGCAAAATTTAAAAAAAAAAAATTATTTTTTCTTATGATATGATAGAGAATCTTTTCCCGATTGTAATGACACCAAAAAAACGAAATTTGATGGAAAACTGACGGAATTATGCTCTCGTGAAGTTAGCGACCTCGGCTCTGTTTACAAATCGGCGATTTCGCCCACTTTGAGCCCTATTTTCGGCTAATTCCATTGTTCCAGTCACCCAAACTCATAGCTATTTCTTTAGAACTCCATTTTTTCTATCGATTGAGTACAAGAAACTGCCCATTTACCGATTTCAACTACCTAATAATGTGGTCAGAAATTTGCAATTTGGCCAATTTCACGAAAACTAAAAAATATGACAATTTCAAAATAAGGTCCAGAATGAATAATGCAGACATTCCTGGCTCTAAAATAACATTTTCTTTGTTCATCAGTCATGTCTCCAGGCCCCTCTGATATTACTCTTGCTTTCTATTTTGAATTTTTATTCAAACAAAAAATAGAAGACTTACTATTATGCAGACTACTGCAATACTGTAATAATTGTATAAATAACATCAACCCATTCATGACTGCGTATTAGAATGGCTAGTTGGACATTTATTGGACAATGGCATCATTTGTTTACTTTTGAACATTGGCAAAAATCAAACATTTCCCCTACTTTGAGCTCCATTTCTAGGCTCTTTTTATAGTAAAATCAATCAAAATCACCTCTACTTCTATAATATGTTTTCCATTCTATCAAATGAGACCAAGAAAACGAGAATACAACCATAAATACTATACGAAAATAGACCACAAAGTCGGCATTTTACTTAAAAAAACGGTCAGAGTTTTTTTTCTCATTATGCACTGTTTGCTCCAGGAATTTTTTTATATGGTGCACACAGACCCATTCTCTCACATGTGGGCCTACTAGCTTTCTCCTGCTTGATTTGAAGCCGCTAGAATTTATGAGTATATATACGTCAAACACGGTACCTCGTAAGACGTATATATACGGCCGCGACAGTCAAAGGGTTAACACACTGGTCATCTATCGAGGTAGGGTGACCCCCCCCCCAAAAAAAAAGAAACACTTTCACCATTACTCACACCATCACTGTCTTACCCCACCCCTCCTTCAGAGTGCAGGCACTGTACTTCCAAATCCAGGGTTCAAGTCCAGCTGACCGGTTTCTCTGAATCCCTTCATAAATGTTACTTTGCTCACACTCCAACAGCACGTCAAGTATTAAAAACCACTTGCCTCCACTTACTCCTAACACACTTGCTGGATGTTTAAGCCCTTTGAACACAAAATTTACTTTACCCTCTCCCTCTAACCTTTCCTAGAACAACCCCAACCACACCTTCCTTCCACTACAGATTTATACGCTTTCCAAGTCATTCTATTTTGCTCCATCCTCTCTGAATGTCTGAACCACCTCAACAACCCCTCCCCAGCCTGTATAATACTTTTAGTATTTTTCATAATTTCTGATTTTTTTCTGTTATCAGTTTCAAGCAATTTTCAGTAGCAGCTAATTCAAGGGAATTGTATTTGGAATATGTAATTAAAACATATATACAGTATATTATTCCATATTGTACACTGTTCTATTTATAATTGTGTGTTTTATGTAGCATATTTGAAGATTTGGTGGTTCAAAGAATTTGTGGATGTGAGCATTGTGAGTGACTTTGTGTGTTATGACACACAAATTGAGAATGAGAGAGACAAGTTACCATAACTTAGCTATATATACAGTATAATGGGCATTCTTTTAAAAAATCATACATTTAATATTTTCCATTTTGATTTATTCTCTATTATGTCATTACACAACCCACAGCTTAGAGAGGTAACTTTAGCTGAAGTGTCTATCATTCCTGGACCATCATTAGGTCATGAGTTGACAGTGGTCTGGACCATCATCAGGTCATGAGTTGATAATGGTCCAGGATGAACCAAAACTTCATTTCAAGTTTCCTCTCCTAATTGTGTCCTGCGAATTATTCCAGCTAAGGTATTGTGACTTATTCTTATTGTCATTATTGATTTTCTTGCCCTAGCATTTTAGGGCTTTTTAAAAATTATTTTGTTTTGTAGGTGGTGGTGTTAAAGCTGATACTTCTAAACATGAGAGTCAGTCTGTAGCTGCAGCAAAGAAACGAAAGGTGGAAGAAAACTCTGATTCAGAAGGGGAGGGACCGAAGCTACTGAAGACTTCCAAAGACCAAAATTCTGATGATGATGAAGAAAAACAGCGGCTGAAAGACCTGCGTGACAGAGATGAATATACAGAAAGGCTACGGCAGCGAGATGAAGAGCGAACAAAGAATGTGGCTGATAAAGGAGACAAAAAGGCCTTTGAAGAGGCTGCAAAGCGACTGCAGTTAGAAAAGGAAGATCGTGAAAAAATCCTTCCTAAACTGAGGGTGGAATCCCGCCGAAAGTACCTTGTAAAGCGCAAGGATGACAAGTTAAAAGAATTAGAAGCAGATATTGTAGATGATGAGTATCTTTTTGAAGAGGAAGCTCTTACAGAGAGGGAGAAAAAAGAAAGAGACTACAAAAAGACTGTCCTTCAATTGGCTAAAGATTATGATAAAGTAAGAGAAGCAGAAAATGTTCAGAGGTATGTAATGCCTGAAGAAGGTGCAAGTGTCGATGATAAATATATAGAAGTTGATGAAAGGGAAAAGAAACGTGGCTATGACCAGAAGAAATGGGAGGAAGATCAGATGAGAGGAACATCCCTTTCATTTGGAGCAAGAGACAAGGCTAAAAAATATCAAGAGCAAGAGAAGGAATATAACCTTGTTTTGGAAGATGAAATTGAATTCATCAAATCACTTCCCTTAGCAGGCACACGTAAAAAAAAGAAAAAGAAGAAGAAAGATTCAGATTCTGAGTCAAGTTCTTCATCAGAGGAAGAAGAGGAAGAAGATGAGCAACCAAAATTAACTGCAACACAGAAGAAGCTTTCAATAGATGAAGTAAGAAGGAGTTTACCTGTGTTTCCTTTCAGAGAAGCTTTGTTAAATGCCATCAATGAACATCAGATCATGATCATTGAAGGGGAGACTGGATCTGGTAAAACAACACAAATCCCACAATATCTGTATGATGCTGGATATTGTAGTGATGGCAAGAAAATTGGCTGTACTCAGCCAAGAAGAGTTGCTGCAATGAGCGTAGCTGCCCGAGTTTCTGAGGAAATGGGCAAAAAACTTGGAAATGAAGTAGGATACAGTATTCGATTTGAAGACTGCACCAATGATCGTACAAGAATAAAGTACATGACAGATGGTATGTTACTAAGAGAATTTCTAATGGATCCTAGTTTAGATGGTTACAGTGTTATGATTATTGATGAGGCCCATGAAAGAACCCTGCATACAGATATTCTTTTTGGTTTACTGAAGGACATTACAAGATTTCGTAGTGACCTAAAGTTACTTATCTCTAGTGCTACTTTGGACTCCGCAAAATTTTCAGATTTTTTTGATGAAGCTCCTATTTTCCGAATACCAGGCAGGCGATACCCAGTCCATATTTACTACACTAGAAGCCCAGAAGCTAACTATATTGATGCTGCATCGGTCACAATCTTGCAAATCCATATCACTCAGCATCTCGGAGATATTTTAGTGTTTCTCACAGGTCAGGAAGAGATCGAGGCGTGTCAAGAAATTTTGACTGAAAGACTCAGAGCTCTTGGAAGTAAAATTCGTGAGCTAATAATATTGCCAATATATGCCAATTTACCTTCTGAAATGCAAGCGAAGATCTTTGAGCCAACTCCTCCTGGGGCAAGAAAGGTTATTCTTGCAACAAATATTGCTGAAACATCTCTCACCATTGATGGTATAAAGTACGTTATAGATCCTGGATATGCGAAGCAGAATTATTTTAATGCAAGAAGTGGCATGGAGTCACTAATAGTTGTTCCAATATCTAGAGCCTCAGCTAATCAGAGAGCTGGCAGAGCAGGTCGAGTTGGTCCTGGTAAGTGCTTTAGACTTTATACTCAGTGGGCATTTGAGAATGAAATGGATGAAAACACAATCCCAGAAATTCAGCGGGTTAACCTCGGTAATGTTGTGCTTCAACTTAAATCCCTTGGTATTCATGACCTTATTAACTTTGATTACTTGGACCCACCACCGGCTGAAGCTCTGATCCTTGCTCTTGAACAACTGTATGCTTTGAAAGCTTTGAATCACAAGGGTGAACTGACCTCTACTGGTAGAAAGATGGCTGAACTCCCAGTGGATCCAATGATGTCTCGTATGATATTAGCTGCTGACCAGTATAAAGTCGTTGAGGAAATCCTCACAATTGCTGCAATGTTGTCTGTAAATGGATCTATATTTTATAGGCCTAAAGATAAGGCAATTCATGCCGATACTGCACGCAAAAATTTCTTTCATCCAGATGGCGATCACTTAACTTTAATGAATGTTTATAATGAGTGGGTAGGAACAGACTATTCCTCACAGTGGTGCTATGAGGTCTTTATTCAATATCGATCTATGAAAAGGGCAAGAGATATTAGAGATCAGCTTGTTGGACTCATGGACCGTGTAGAAGTGCAGGTTACCTCCAATCCTGGTGACTCTGTTAACATTCGAAAAGCCATTACTGCAGGCTATTTCTACCATGTGGCAAGGTTTAGCAAAGGTGGCATGTACAAAACTGCAAAAAAGAGTAAAACTGTGATGATTCACCCCCAGTCATGTATGATAGAAGATCTTCCTAGGTGGGTTGTATACCATGAGTTAGTTATGACTACTAAAGAATATATGAGAAATGTAGTTGTCATTGATGGCAAATGGCTTTTAGAAGTTGCTCCTCATTATTATCGTGATAATGAGGTACATGATGCAACTAGTAAGAAGATGCCAAAAGTTAAAGGCAAAGCAAAAGAAGAGTTGCAGAAGGAATATAATAAATTATAGTACAAAGTCTGTTACTAAGAAAATGTAGACCAAAAGGCATTCTGCTTTCTATATTGCCATGAAGACTTGGAGAAGTAAACCTTGCAATTCTGAAGGTGCAAAAAATTGGAGTAGATGTTGATCATAACGTTCAAGATACTAAGATATATTCATAATGTGGATTATTTAGAAGGGATGGGACCAGGAGCAGGAAGCTAAAAAAAAAAAACGACAAGAAAAGTGAGGTAAAGAAATGTAAGGAGAAAGTTATCCAGTATGAGGCAGTGTAAGCAAATGAGAGGTATAAGCAACCCTTGGATGCAAGTTCATTGTGAGAGAGCGATGAAGTGGTGGTCAAGGAGATATGAATTTAAGACTCTCAAGGTAGGTTCCTTGAAGCTGGTAAGGGACTCTTGATCATAAGAATGGGACATGTTCTCCTCTTCCTTGGATTGAACCTGAATGCCTTCCATTCCCCAGGTGCTGTATGATTCCTATGGGTTTAGCACTCCTCTCCTAAATATTTTTTTATTTTTATTTATTATCACACCGGCCGATTCCCACCAAGGCAGGGTGGCCCGAAAAAGAAAAACTTTCACCATCATTCACTCCATCACTGTCTTGCCAGAAGGGTGCTTTACACTACAGTTTTTAAACTGCAACATTAACACCCCTCCTTCAGAGTGCAGGCACTGTACTTCCCATCTCCAGGACTCAAGTCCGGCCTGCCGGTTTCCCTGAATCCCTTCATAAATGTTACTTTGCTCACACTCCAACAGCACGTCAAGTATTAAAAACCATTTGTCTCCATTCACTCCTATCAAACACGCTCACGCATGCCTGCTGGAAGTCCAAGCCCCTCGCACACAAAACCTCCTTTACCCCCTCCCTCCAACCCTTCCTAGGCCGACCCCTACCCCGCCTTCCTTCCACTACAGACTGATACACTCTTGAAGTCATTCTGTTTCGCTCCATTCTCTCTACATGTCCGAACCACCTCAACAACCCTTCCTCAGCCCTCTGGACAACAGTTTTGGTAATTCCGCACCTCCTCCTAACTTCCAAACTACGAATTCTCTGCATTATATTCACACCACACATTGCCCTCAGACATGACATCTCCACTGCCTCCAGCCTTCTCCTCGCTGCAACATTCATCACCCATGCTTCACACCCATATAAGAGCGTTGGTAAAACTATACTCTCATACATTCCCCTCTTTGCCTCCAAGGACAAAGTTCTTTGTCTCCACAGACTCCTAAGTGCACCACTCTCTTTTTCCCTCATCCATTCTATGATTCACCTCATCTTTCATAGACCCATCCGCTGACACGTCCACTCCCAAATATCTGAATACGTTCACCTCCTCCATACTCTCTCCCTCCAATCTGATATTCAATCTTTCATCACCTAATCTTTTTGTTATCCTCATAACCTTACTCTTTCCTGTATTCACCTTTAATTTTCTTCTTTTGCACACCCTACCAAATTCATCCACCAATCTCTGCAACTTCTCTTCAGAATCTCCCAAGAGCACAGTGTCATCAGCAAAGAGCAGCTGTGACAACTCCCACTTTGTGTGTGATTCTTTATCTTTTAACTCCACGCCTCTTGCCAAGACCCTCGCATTTACTTCTCTTACAACCCCATCTATAAATATATTAAACAACCACGGTGACATCACACATCCTTGTCTAAGGCCTACTTTTACTGGGAAAAAATTTCCCTCTTTCCTACATACTCTAACTTGAGCCTCAGTATCCTCGTAAAAACTCTAAACTGCTTTCAGTAACCTACCTCCTACACCATACACTTGCAACATCTGCCACATTGCCCCCCTATCCACCCTGTCATACGCCTTTTCCAAATCCATAAATGCCACAAAGACCTCTTTAGCCTTATCTAAATACTGTTCACTTATATGTTTCACTGTAAACACCTGGTCCACACACCCCCTACCTTTCCTAAAGCCTCCTTGTTCATCTGCTATCCTATTCTCCGTCTTACTCTTAATTCTTTCAATTATAACTCTACCATACACTTTACCAGGTACACTCAACAGACTTATCCCCCTATAATTTTTGCACTCTCTTTTATCCCCTTTGCCTTTATACAAAGGAACTATGCATGCTCTCTGCCAATCCCTAGGTACCTTACCCTCTTCCATACATTTATTAAATAATTGCACCAACCACTCCAAAACTATATCCCCACCTGCTTTTAACATTTCTATCTTTATCCCATCAATCCCGGCTGCCTTACCCCCTTTCATTTTACCTACTGCCTCACGAACTTCCCCCACACTCACAACTGGCTCTTCCTCACTCCTACAAGATGTTATTCCTCCTTGCCCTATACACGAAATCACAGCTTCCCTATCTTCATCAACATTTAACAATTCCTCAAAATATTCCTTCCATCTTCCCAATACCTCTAACTCTCCATTTAATAACTCTCCTCTCCTATTTTTAACTGACAAATCCATTTGTTCTCTAGGCTTTCTTAACTTGTTAATCTCACTCCAAAACTTTTTCTTATTTTCAACAAAATTTGTTGATAACATCTCACCCACTCTCTCATTTGCTCTCTTTTTACATTGCTTCACCACTCTCTTAACTTCTCTCTTTTTCTCCATATACTCTTCCCTCCTTGCATCACTTCTACTTTGTAAAAACTTCTCATATGCTAACTTTTTCTCCCTTACTACTCTCTTTACATCATCATTCCACCAATCGCTCCTCTTCCCTCCTGCACCCACTTTCCTGTAACCACAAACTTCTGCTGAACACTCTAACACTACATTTTTAAACCTACCCCATACCTCTTCGACCCCATTGCCTATGCTCTCATTAGCCCATCTATCCTCCAATAGCTGTTTATATCTTACCCTAACTGCCTCCTCTTTTAGTTTATAAACCTTCACCTCTCTCTTCCCTGATGCTTCTATTCTCCTTGTATCCCATCTACCTTTTACTCTCAGTGTAGCTACAACTAGAAAGTGATCTGATATATCTGTGGCCCCTCTATAAACATGTACATCCTGAAGTCTACTCAACAGTCTTTTATCTACCAATACATAATCCAACAAACTACTGTCATTTCCTAAATATGATAATAAATACTATGAATTTAATAAATTTAATAATGCAGTACTAATGTGCAGCAGAGTTTGTGTGGAGTGGGTGTAGGGTGAAAGAGGAGTGACTGGTGGAATGATGAAGTTAAATTGGTTGTAAAGTAGAAAAAGAACATAAAAGATTTTTACAGTGAAGAAATATGAAGATAGAGTATGTGGAGAAATAAAAGGTTAAAGAAAGAGGAGTGGTGATGTGTTCTGTTTACCTAGCCCCCCCAAAAATAAATCTCTCTCTGATGGGGGGTCCCGTTGGCAACAACGTTGGTCTACTCTACTCGGTAACAAACTTCAATCTATTAAACCGAGTATAGGTTACTGGCCGTCTTCTTGTCACCAGTGTCAAGGTTGGGAGACTACTCTCTACCTTCTTCGCATTGGCCATACTCGTCTTACTCATGGATATCTCATGGAGAGGCGCCCTGCTCCTCTCTGTGAGAATTGTCAGGTTCCATTATCGGTCAGCCACATTCTGTTAGACTGCCCACTTTATCAACAAGCACGCAGAATTTACCTCCAACGTTGTCTTCACTTTGCTGCTCTCTCTTTACCTTCCCTTCTCGCTGATGGACCCACCTTTCATCCGGACTCTCTCATTGACTTTTTGACAACAACTGACTTACTTCACAAACTCTGATGATACCTTCAGCCCTTTCTACCTCAATCTCTTGCTACCCTCTACCCTGCACTATCCCCTGCCCCGCTGTTTTCTGTAACCTACTGATCGCCCCTCCCCCCTCCTGCCGCCCAATACCCTCGCTTCCTTCCCTACCCTGCAGCGCTGTATAGCCCTTGTGGCTTAGCACTTCTTTTTGATTATAATAATAATAATAATAGTCTCTCTGATGGGAGGGTTAGCAGATATACTTGTCATTATATCTGGCCACTGTGAAGGCATCTGACTGACCATGATATTTGGTTAATCAGTACACATGGTTCAGAGAGCACCCACTGGTTATAGATATTGTGCTGTACATGGGAGTGGATGTTCTGGCACATGGGTCGTAAATAACAACTTGAAATATAGAATGTATTAATAAAAAAAGTTGCTGAGGTGTTCAAGTCTGTTGAAATAAATATATTTCACATTGCATGCAAAAAGGGGAATGCATTTGAGTACACTGGTTCCAACACTCTTGTATATGAGACATGATCTTTTATTACTGCAGTTGTGAGATCAGTGTGTAATATGAACATTATGCAGAGAAAATGAAGTGAAGACATTAGATGATGTGGTATGAAAGATACACTTCCGAGAGCAGAGAAAGGGATGTAGTTCAGCAGAACATTTGAAATGTGATATCCATTTTGAAGAGATAGATATAGAATTCGTGATGGTGAATGTGTTTCTTGTCTTTGGACTTTCTGCCTTCATGGGACACAGCTGTAAAAAGAGTATACTCGTATACTCTAGAATATTGGAGCATCGCTATGACATAATTTTCTAGAATTGAGAATTAGTATTTTGCCACTTGAAATTTTTATAAACTCATAGTTATTGCATATAGCAGTGTAAAGCTTGTGACATCTTGGCACATTATTTTACTATGTAAGAAGAAACCATCTTTAGTGTCTAAAATTACATTATTTAAGCAACACTTTATACAATACATGTATCTAAATTTTATAAATGCAAATAGAAGAATAAATGAATTATTAATTCATGTACCCTTTTTAATTTCGTGGTAGTTAAACCAAACTGAGACTAAAAAAAAAATAGACCCCCCCCCCTCTAAAAGTAGGAATTTTCAGTGATAGGACAACAGGCATAAACCTCACCTTGTAAATTACTACTGTATTTTTTGGCATATAAGGTGCACAAGTGTCAGCTGCTTGCAGTTGTAGCATTAGTAAACAACTGCTAAAGCATAACCCAAAGGCTACCCTTGACCCTGACCTCGAGCATATAAGGTGCAGGCTGATTTTTCAAGGCTTTGTGGGAAAAAAATACACCCTATTCTATGCTGGAAAATACAGTATCAACATTAATAAATCATCACTTTTTCCATAGTGAATTACCTTGTCATAGTAGGAGGAATAGTTAGGTTTGATGATGCCATGGGCTGTAGGTTTTTCCATATTAGAAAACCTATGGTTGAGAAGGCTATCTAACTTTTTGTGTGTTTGCCATGAATGGAAACCCATAACT